CCGATTATTTTCTGAAACATTCGGGCGCCATCTTGAAATTTGAGTTCGGGGGGGTGAATGCCTCTCTTTCGCGCACTGGCTAAGCTTTTGGCGGCCGGTTACACTTTTTTGGCTGAGTTCCACCTCTGTGTAGTATATCCTCTCTGATGCAACTGCCCGTTCTGGATTTCGCGCCAAAAACCAAGGAGTGAAACAATTTTGAAACGAAAAAATCAGCCAAAAACATTTGAAAAACATAGCCTAACCTGGCCTAACGATAGTCAGAATACGAAAATGAATTGCATCAAGCCCTAAAGACTTCATACTACGCACGATGTTCACCAGAATTGTCAATATTTTGATAGAAATGTGACTGAAAGTCGGAAAGTTTATATTTGACATGAATAAAACTTACGTCGAGAAAACTACATATTTTTTTAAATGCTCATGTATCCGGCCACTTAAAAGCGAAAAAATTACAGCTGAAACAGAAATTGTAAAATAAATGTTTTCCCATTTAAAAGAAGGTTTAACTGCAGCAGTAAAAACAAGTCACGAATATATTCTCTACCCATTTGTGTCATGCATTTTTCACTGATATAAATATTGTAAACAAAGTAAAAGTTTGTGTTAAAAAACACTTTTTTCAAGCATATTATCCTGAGACAAGAAGAAAAAATACCAAAATATAAAAACAACATACCTTTTTCATTAATTGTCCTTTTAGTAGAAAAACGATGATTAAATCAAAACAGATTCATTTTTATATGTTTTTGATCGGTACTGAACATGAACCTGTCGTTGTCAGGACTCAGGAGCAACTGATTTTGTCAAAGCCAAAGCCAAAACGCCGGGCATAAAAGTTTTTATTCCAGAGCTTCTCTGCTATCATATTTATGAAAAAAGCATGTACATTTTTACTGAAACTATACGTCTTTTTGTGTGTTTCTTGCCAATTTTCTCGACTTTCGTATTCGTGTTTAAAATCTTTCAAGTTCAACTTTTCAATTTTTGTCAGCCTCGCTTTGAAAATACACAACTACACTGATCTCAAATTAGTTCGCAAGCAACACTGGAATTTTAATGAATTTAATTTTTACATCTGATAAAAAATAAACACATTATTTACCGGCAGCGTCGGTCCGGATGAGAAAAACTGTGCCCTCGGTCTTGAAAACGTCCTTCGCCCTTCGGGCTCGGGCCGTTTTCAAGACCTCGGGCATAGTTTTTCTCATCCGGACCTCGCAGCCGGTAAATAACATATATATATATCGGACTATACCATGCAGTAAGGCGCACGATATGCCTCTCTAAAATCAATAACATTACGGTATACATGTAATGTATATAATGTATATATGCCCATCAATATTGTATTTATGAATTAGGACTGTGTGACTCAACAAAATTTGCATTGAAATGCTAATTAAATTGAGATGGATGATTATCACTTTTTCCACTCTATAGAAAAAATTTATCACGAAGTGAAGACCCTAAAGCAACACATAAAAATTTGATAACAATCGTCCAAGTTTACTGTTAAATTCGAGTCAAATTTTGATCCATTAAGGGGGGGTATGAATTTTTAAGGAAGGCTCAAAACGATCTCAGGCACTTCCCCTCAAGATTCTACCATGTTGTACACTATCCTGCTTACTTGTGCCCCAAATTGACATGCTCCAAATGATGTTTCTTCAATAGAGATTGGAATTTGAGATATAAGATTACTTGACACTGACCTCAAATTTTCCCCAGGTTGTTGTAAGAGTTGAGAATGGTGGTGGTGTAATGGAAACATCGTGGACACCATTGGATGGTCAAACATTGTGTGACAACAAGTGGCATAAAATCGTTGTTTCAAAAGTGGAAACAATGGTTAGCTTGCAGGTTGATACCAACCCTCCTTCCAAAGTAAAGAGAGGAACACGAACTATTGCCAATGTGAAGGATCAATTCTTTCTTGGAGGAATACCAGGTTTGTTCTTGAAAAATATCAATATCTATACGTACACACACATTTTCTGACGAAATTGTCATTTTCCTGCCAATTGCGTAGTTGGTTGGTAAATTAGTTTTGTCACAACATAGCCGGTCATTTTTCTTTCAAGAGTGTTATCACTGAACCTGGGCAGACCGAATTTCTAAAGGAAAAAAGACAGGAAACAATTTTAGCCTAATAAAAATGAACGGAATTCAACATTTTCTTGATATTTAAAAACATGTCTTGTTGCTGGGACGTCGCTGATCATAACGTAAAGGCCTGTTTACACTTTCTTCTTCTGGCGCATGTGAACGAGTGGAAGAGTTATGAATGTTTCGATGAGGGTAAATATACTCAGAACATTCATAGTCATCTGTTTGTTCACATCATAGATATCTTATATATACTAGATAGTGCATCTCTTTTAGTAAAATTGAAGCCAAGAATATTCCAGCGGTTACCACCATTTGAATAGATGGCGGCCATGTTGGAGTTTCCCACTCACTAATAAACGCTTAAAAAAGTTTAAAACAACAATAACGTTCATCATTTGAATGGTTTAAAAATGTATTTGTAACAGGTTTAACTATTAGTTCAAGTTCCCTGTATAAGAAATAGAAAACATACGAATCTTCTCATTTCATGGGAATATCAGTTGTAATTCCAAAATTTCTGCTAATACTGTAAAATGACTTGCACAAAGTATTATATACCGTTTGACGAGAGTTAGCAAATGGAGGGGGGGGGGGTCAAAATGAAATTGAAAAAAAGATCTCAGTTTGCCGGGACGGGATGTAAGGCGAGGTGATTTTGATGCATTGAAATAAATCACTAGGCTTAAACGAATGTTCAAACGCCGGTTAAAAGAGCTCAACTGTTGTCAAGAAGATCCCGTTGTTCATGCTGTTGTTGAACCACCTTCCTTTGACAATTATACAATAATCTATCACAAGAAAAAGAATGCAGTTTTTTTTAGTCTGGCACCCTGACTAGTGACTATTGAAATAATACATCGAGTCATCCCACTCTTAGAGTGTTGACTGACACTTTTCACCTTTGTGTCCTTATCCAACACGAAAATGGAGCTTGCGATCTTACATAAGAATCACTTCACTTTGTTGCCAAAAAGTAGTTCTTTTATCTGTATTTTCACTGTTATTCACTTTATGAAAAATCGTATTGTTTTAGAGAATGTCAGGTCAGTTGGTATTAATGTGAGGTCTTCGTATCAAGGATGTCTCAAGAATTTTAGGATCAAGGATTCTTCGGTTGTCGAGTTGTCCAACCCAGCATCAATGTTTGGTGATATTTCTATGTTTGGTTGTCCCATCGCTGATTAGATAGTTCCTATAGAACTCCACAAAATTTCTTGCACATTGATTAAATATTAAATAAAGAAATGAAACAATAAAAGTTCATGTTAACATCCTCCGCTTTTTGACTATTTGGCAGATGTAAGACAAATCAGGAGTAGGGGTGGAAATATTTGACTTTCCGGGACCGCAAGGGAACATTAGAGACCTTTAGATTGACGTTTACGGCAAACGGCAAACCGCTAGCGAGGACGACTACAAGCCCTCGTAGCAGTTCAAGCATGAAATTTATACGCCAAACGTCAACTTCAAACGCCAAATCTTAATTTACTGCTTTGGTGCAGGCGGTGTGCGAACTACGGCCGCAATGCATTCTGGCGTTTTCGCGCCATGTAAATTTCCTGATGTCATTTGCATTTTGACTGCGGTCGTATGCACATCTCTGCTGTAAACTAATTAATGATTATTTGGGAATATATTAATACTTAAATGGGGATAAACTGTCTTTTGCCATTCGTTAAGAAATACTCTACAAACGTGAATATAAATAGATTTTCTGGGCAAACTATTGCGGTAGATGCATCGTGTTGGATACATAAATCGCTGGCAATTTCTGTATCACAAACAGGAACTAGAGAAAGGTGAGAAGCTTGATAACAGTATATTCCTATTTTTACTAAAATAAAAAACTGTTATATAAACTATAATTATTTTCGTAAAGGTTTTCCCGAATATTCAACAGCCACATACAACTACTGAAGGATGCTGGGGTGATCCCTTTGATGGTCTTCGATGGCTTGCCATTGCCAGCGAAAGAAAAGGAAAATGCTCGTCGGCAAAGGTTTATATATTTCAAAATCTTCGATTTCCAACGCTTGCATTCATGCTTTGACCAGACTTGACAGAGCTTCGTCATTGTATTTGCTATTTATTAAATTATAATTTGTTCTTCTATTATTGCAAACAGTGAAAGACGAGAGAGAATGGAGAAAGCGCAAACAAAAAATATCAGTACGACACAAAGAAATAAACTCGCAAGCCAGGGTCAGGAAAAAACATACCATGATGTTGTAGAATGTATAAAGGTATTTTTTGATGTTTATACTACCATAGCTTCCAACTCAGCTAAAGTAGACTGCAGCTACCTTTCCTTTATGTCTTAGCTATGTTTGTGCCAGAGGGTGAAGTATGTTGTATCTCCTTACGAATCAGATGCCCAAATTGCCTTTCTCCTCAAGAATGGGTATGCTGATGTTGCTGTGACAGAGGATTCAGACCTCTTGGTTTATGGCTGTGAAAAGGTAAGGTTCTATGGATAGTTTTTTCTCTAACTATAGTATTTGTCTGTATTCAGAAGAACTTTTAAATATCAAATAATCCCTTCTTTCTAGTTGGCCCTTTTTTGTAGAGTTGAAAGCCCACACCCCACCCCCCACAACTACTACCATCGCTGTGTTGTCCTAAAACTCAAAACTGATCATAAATTTACCTCGCTAAGGCCTTTTCTTCCATATATGCTCCCATTTAAGTGTGCCTGAATAAGCTGCATGCATAAGATGATAAGAGCTAGTTGTAAGCCCCATTGTTTCCTGCTGACCAAGTTCCAGGCTAGAGACTTGTGGCCCAAGTTTTATACCAAAAGCAACATTGAGTGTATTTCATATCTTTTAAGGTTATTTTTAAGCTTGGAATGAATGGTCATGGAGAGTACTTCGAGTTGAATAACATTCTTTCTGGGCTAAATACAACAAACACAGAATTTGTGCATGGTTGCATTGCAGCTGGGTGTGATTATCTAAGCAATGTAAGAGGAGTAGGTATCCACAGGGCATTTTCCTTTGTAAAATCTGGGAAACTGTTCGAGGAACTGAAGAAAAAACACTCACCTGCGAATTATGAAGATCTCTTTCAAATGGCACTGGCAGTCTTCCAGCACCAGTCAGTATTTAACCCAACATTGTTGACTGTCCAGCCATTGAACCCATGGACTGAGGATCCAGGAGATGAAGTTAAACATTTTTGTGGACTGTATCCATTTTAAATTCATATTAAAGCATTACAGTAGTAGGATTCTAATTTTAATGTCATTCTTTTACAATCCTGTGTTTAATTTAGTTGTTGTTAGGCCTTTAAGCTACAATGTACCCTACTTTGTTGTATAGTTACTCTGTCTGATACCAGACAAATCTATTTTTCAAAGATGGGTACCAGTAAATCATTGTGCCACATAACAGTAAATACAAATCATGCAATATACTGTATTATCTAATGAAACTATTATCCAATATATATCATTTCTTTAACTGAATGTCAATATAGTGTTCTGGACAAAGAGTTTGCCAAAGAGATGGCTGCTGGAAATATTTGCCTGAAGAGTAGAAATAAGGAAAATGATTTCCCCTATCTTCAATCTGTAAGTTTGGAGAAAATTGTGTAAATCTTTTGTTATAGAAAATGTCATTAAGTTAATATTATTTCATGAGTTCTATCCTGCTTTTAAACTAATGTAGCAAAGTTGTACTGTAGTCCATATGACGAGCAGCTAATTAGCTTCAAATTTTCTTGAGTAATTTGCATAAGTATTTCAAATGGTGAGATAAGCACAACTTCAATTAACAATGAAACTAATTTTGATTTGGGAAGAGATGTGAAATTCCTAGGGAGAAACAGTTTTTCCCTCGGGGCAATGATATTCTTTTGCTAAATTTCCTCTGCTACAGCTTATTATAATTGAGATTGTCTTATTCTTTAGATATCAGCACCAGACACATCTGCACCAGAAGTATCTGTGCCAGAAGTACCTAAAAAAGGAATCAGTGCATTAACCATTGTGGATGTTGGCACTTCATGGTTCACTTGGACTATCCCATGTTTTCCTGTCATGTCAGTTGACTTTGTCAGAGTGAAAGCATCTATTAATGATACGCATGTGGATTGTTTAATAAAAAAAGATGCAAATATTCACCTTGGTGAATTGTGTTGTACATCATATTGTACAATTTCAATTGAAAAGAAGGAGTACACTGTTTTGTGGGAATTCACACAACCCGAAGTTGGCCGTGCACAGGTTTTACATAATAGTATTAATATTGAAAGTGATGACGAAAGCAATATTGATGTCCAGCATTCACTGCCATTCAAAGTTCTGGGTACCTGCAAATCTGTAGAGCGACAGAGTATACTGGAGGAAGCTAACAGCTACCTGAATGAATATAATCGGCCAGTTTTTGTTCAGCTTGAAAGGGAACCAGACAATGCTCACGACAGTAATGCTATTGCTGTTTTTGTAATGACCGATAATGATTTTTATAAAGTTGGTTACATTGCAAGTGAACTAACTCAGTATGTACACCCATGTTTAGATGACCCTAGTTTTGAAGTTTCTGTGAAGAACATTCGGTTTTCCACAACCTGGATGATGGTGGGATACTACATAACAATTGAACTCTCTAAGAAAGGGCTGTGGCATAAAAATGTTGTCAAAGCAAGCAAGAATGTTAAATAGATGTTGACTTATACATTCCTGATGTACAATTAATGATAACAATGCCATAGCAAACAACCAAATATTAAGGTTTTGTAAATAAGTTATAGTTCATAATACAATTTTAAATAATTTGTTTCAATCTAGCACAAATTATGAAACTGACAATTGTTGCCTAACAGTAACAGTAAATCCAAATGTTTGAACTCAGGGCATGTTTATACAGAGGTGGTTTATCTGGCTATCCCAGTTAATAATTAGCAATAGCAGGAACCCGATAATAAGAATATGATAGTTTTCCCACATAGACAAGGAGTGAATATGCTGTTATGTAAACACTTTGCATGAGAAATGTATAAGCAAAGACTGCATGCATGAACTGCAGTAAACAGGTTACTGATACCAGTAATTATGGATAGCCAGGTTTACAAATTACCTTCATATAAGCAAACCGTGCTATAGTGTGGG